TATATAATAATAACTTTTTTCTTTAGAAAAAACCAAATTGCAGTTGTTTTTTTTAAAGGAATAAGAATAAATAAATAAATCCATGCTGATAAAAAATTTTTGCTCCAAATTTCTTATAATTTTTGTATTAATTATTTCATTGTTAGAATGAATAATTTCCGAAAGAAACTTGGGGAAATGAATCAGTTTTATTAGTAATCTCTTATTACTATGCGCAAATATCTTCTCTCTTAGAAAGATAATCGTTGCAGAGTATTTCAATCCTTATCATGCCAATCTGTCATGCATGCCGGCTTTACAGTGTTATCTTAATCCAATGTAACACAGAAGTGTCGAAACTGTTAAACTGATACTGAGAGTGGAAATTAAAGATTCCATGCCTCCAATGCAGCACCTGATAACATCTTGATTTTTCACCTCGCTGCATTAGGAAACATCTCAGTTTCAACTAATCCATGTTACTGTCATTTCAATGTGAATCAATCTGTCGTGATAATGAATAGCCACCTTTTTTACTTATTTATTTAAGGTTCATTGTGGTTAAAGGTTATCTGATTTGATTGATTTTAGAAAACATGATGAATGGAGATAATCATTAAGAATAAAAACACGTATTATATAAATTATAATTATTGGCAATAAAGGGGATTTAGTTGCAGAAAATTTAAGTTAGATGTTTCGCTTATTTTATCTGTTTTAAGACTAAAATAGTTGCTATATAATATTGCTACATTTCATAAAAACATTGGTTTATCATCAGTTACATTAATCTCTTTTCTGACAGATAATTATCTTATTTTATCAGATGCAAATTATTATTTGTAAATATTACAATTATTGCTTTTGGGAAATATTTAATTATGTAAAACTTGGAAAGTTTGAAGTCAGCGTTCGCTCTTCATTGGGAGTTTGCGTGGCTTTGCTTTTTATTGAGCTTTATGAATTTTCACACTACTTTTACTTTCGCATATTCAGTCTGTTTCAAATATTAACGTACAGGATATTCATGATGATCCATATAATGAACTAATTAATTATATTTCTGGAATCAGTTGCTACAAATAAATTAGAGTGAAAATTGTCTAAAAGCAATTTGTATACAAAAATGAAGCTAATACATTATAACAGCAATTTAAGGTTTTACATTCATGAAAACCTTCTAATCATAGTAGTTTATACACGTTTTGGTGTGCCGTATCGTTAGACCATGAGGAGAAGACACATCTGGGCTACTAAGCGGGTGTTGAGAAGCTTGTGAAGAATAAGTGGTTATATAAAATATACATTTGACTAAAAACTTTTAAAGCAATCTCTTATATATTAAGCTGTAGCGTCATTAGGTATTTTCTTTAAGCAGGAGACATAAAAAAATGAAGGCATTTTAGAGGGAGGGAGAAAGTGCATATACTTCCCTTTTAAAAAGCAACTGTGGATTAGGGAACAATCGCCAAATCTTTGTGTGACGAATTATTGTCCACCACCTTTTAATTTCGGAGCCACTGTACAGGCATTTAGTCCAAAGGGGCAATTTGCCCTAAAGGACTATTCATTTTGTTTTGGCATTTTGCGTTGAAAACTATAAACGGAGAAACACTTTTCAATATTTTCCCACCAAATATTATCGTCCTGTATTATATTTAAAGAAATTAAATAATGAAGAATCAGCATGAATGTATGTATATTTCTCGCACTGTGATAAAACAACGGTACCTAGAGCCATCAAAATGTTAATAATGTAATAATCTTTCATAGTACACTGGTGTGCAAAAATTAAGGACGAGACGGTTTTTTCAATACAACTTTGTACAAAAGCTTTCCAAATCAACACATTTAATACCGTAAGATCCTCAATACGTAAGGACATGAGTAATGTAAGCAACACTTACTAAAAGAGAAATCAGAGGGATAAAAAGAAGCTTTATTGAAAAAGTAGCATGGAGCGCAATGCGACTGAAGGCCGAAACATCCCTGTGATGGGTGTCCAGCAAGAAACATCCGGTCTTTAACAGGGGATATGATCTCCCCTGACTGCTAGGCAGGTTTCACAGCGTCTGCCCATGCTGAGAATGAGGGTGTCAATGAGATGTTGAGGCATTGCTGCCCGTCTTGCAGCGCCAATCGAAGCTCCGGAATCGTTACTGGTGGTGAGGTACGAGCTGCCAAGCGTCTGCCTAGAAAATCCCATACATGCTCGATGGGATTGGGATCCGGAGATCGTGCCGGCCAATCCATACGTTCAATATCCTCACTCTTTAAGAGCTGTTCGGCAGCTACTGTGCGATGACATGGTGCATTGTCGTCCATGAAAAGGAACTGCGGACCCATAGCGCCTCTAAAACGACGCACATATGGAAGAAGAATCTCGTTACAATAACGGGTCCCGTTGACTGAACCTGCGTCGAAGATGTGAAGATCTGTACGACTACCTAGCATGATGCCTCCCTAAACGAGAACACCGCCACCTCCATACCTGTCCCTTTCAATGATGTTCGAGGGATGATTGCGGCTTCCCCGCTCTCTCCAGATGAGTATGCGATGAGAATCGCTACTCAGACTGAATCTGCTCTCATCTGTAAAGAGACTCGTCCCCATTCATTGTCTCTCCAATTCCGGTGTTCCCGGCATCACAGAGAACGCCTTCTCCGATGGGCAGGCGTTAGAGGTACACACAGTACAGGGCGTCGTGCAAACAGACCACCACCGTGCAGTCTTCTGGCCACGGTAAAACGCGATATCGGTCGTCCAGTCGCCTGTGTCGTGTGTCTAGCGATTTCTCCCGCTGTCTGCCGCCTGTTTCTTCTGGCCTGCAAGGCAATATACCAGTCATCTGCGGGTGTGGTTCCTCGTGGACGACCACTACTAAACCGAATTTTTGATTAAAAAAATTAAACGATTTTAAAGTATTAGGAAACATTTTTGAAATGTTGATAAGTATTTTATACCAATTGATTAAAGTAGCTGAGACAAAATTAGAGATCAATTTATAAATAAAGCATTGTATACAGAGCTATATATCAATATTATTGCTTATTACGCTAAAAAGCATTACGCCAAAAAGAATTTTTAGCCCTGGCATTGATGTACATGCCACTATTTTGCTAATTACAGTCAATTCTTGATACATTCAATTCAGTCGTACTTAAGTTACGATTATAATGAACCTAAGCAATTAATTCCAACTTGCATTGCATAAGAAATTTGCATTAAATGTTTCGTTTGTAGTAAATACCCTGCCTTTAAAAAAGTACACTTTAAACAACAAGCAAACAGTCTTGTAAAATGCTAAAGGAATGCGATGAGAAAATATTGTAGCTTATTACGCATTCATTAAATGCATTGAAAGGAAAAAAAAAAAAAAAAAAAAAAAGAAAAAGAAAAAAGCTATATTGCTCAAAGAGTTCGTGTATTCGGAAAGGAGCTAGACATGGAAGAAAAGGCCTAATACTGCAAAAAGAAAAGAAAAGCTGGTGAAAAGAAAAGGGAGTGACATTAATGGTCTGAGACTCGAGAAATAACATCGCATCCATTAAGTCTGAATGGCTAAGCGTTTACACCGGCTATTTATGAAAATAATTTCAACAATGATGAGATTAGAATGATAAAATATTGGCGAACGACGACATTTAGAGCGTCGAAAGAGGAGAAGAATATTGGTGACAAAAAGTTGGAAACACGAGTAACGCTGGGAGATGTATACAAGTATATCAGGAATAGAGAAGAGGAAATAGCAGCTAATAAGACAATTTAAGAAATTCAGCTATTTTACAAATGTCCAAAGATTCCATGTGAATTATTTAAAAAATTCACATAAGCCCAATCACATTCAGCTCATCCCTGTGTTGAAAATCTCAGGAATATCATCCTAGTATTTCTACTTCTAAGCACTTCGCTTGTCTTTCAAACACGGTTTTAAAACGCGATTCGCATCTTTAAAACGTTTCACAAAAGAGAAGTAATGTTTCATTTAATTCAGGTCTTATAATTAGAGCAGAACACATAAAATAAATGTTCTAAACGTTGTTCGTTTTGAAAATAAAGCCTGCAGAAATTCTTCAGTGGTCACTATATAGAGCTCTCTCAAAAAAGCTGGTTTAAGTGATCGGTATGTGGAATTAGAAGAAAAGGTGATATACTTCTTAATGGTTCAGTATATCAGTGAGAATTACATTGAAGTTAAAGATTTATTGATATTATTAACTATGAAGTTATAGCAAATAAAATGCAGCCAGATGATACTACTTTCGAGACTGTGAAAGACATTTCCATTATAGAAGGAAAGCTAGGGAAAAAATAACGATGAAAATGTTTCAGCAGTGAAATAGGCGGTGAATAATAACAGGACTGTAATACAATGCACATCCAAAAATATAAAATCAACTGTTAGAACAGACTATTAACAAAACATTAATTTTGGAAAAGAACTTAAAGAACACGGTTTTCAAAATCGCTACAGGAAACAGCAGCATGTAACGGACTATTTTCATGCTAATTAAAGTAATGCAACATTCATTTTGTTTGCTTAAGGAATGTATTTTATGTGCATATCGTTTTTTAGTATCTGCTGTTTTGATTAAATGTTCCATTTAATTAAAATTAAGAAAAGACGCTTCTGTTTTAATGAACTTCGTATACAGAGAACAAGTCTGCATGTGAGTCTGTGTTCGTATGTGAGTCTGCAGAGATTCACGTGGTCAGAATCGGTTATACGTCATTATTCTATTCTTTATAGCACTTTGACATGTTTTTTCTCATTTATGAATGACGAATATTTCCCACTAAGACTTCGAAATTGCTGTCTGAAAATTATATTATTCTTTGGTGGTGAATGACAGTTATTTATTTTACTCCAAATTGGAAAATGAAAAGTCTTTTATATAATCTTATTCAATATTTGCGGCCGCAGAGTTTGAATGCTGGTTTGTATTTTATGTGTAAAATGTAGAATGTATTATGTGGTTAAACTACTGAAAGAAAGAGAACGACAATATTACAACCAAAAAAGTAATTTATATTTTGTATTTGATAATTAATACTCAATTTCTCTCTTTAATTTTTAGCTCAGTTCGCTCGCTTTTAGTCATTTCCCTACCAGGAAATTAAATGAGAAGAATTTCAACAGATTTTCACTCCATTTTTTTGACAAAATATGGGTCTTCATAGTAAAGGAGTGCACTTTGTCTGTTACTCAGTGAAAATATCAAGAAATTTTCAGGCATAAGCGCAGCTAGCTGCTTTTTTGATCTGCTGATAACACAACTCTTTAGTAAATATTTCAGCTTATTAATGTAATGATTTACATTCAAAATACATGTATTTAACTTCTTCATTTAGTAGAAATTACAAAGTATCAGCAGCTGACTCAGTGTGACTCGAGTATAACACCAAGAGTTTAATTAAGAGTTGCATTAATGCCAATTTTTACAAAATTGTTCAAATAACCCTCTTTTAGTACTTTCACTGGCAATGGCATAATTCATCTCAGCAGCATTTGTTCATATTAGCAGAGATTAATTAATATCAGCCGCTTGATTTTAAACACCGCAGAAGTATTTGCTTTGCTCACATTATGGCAAGTCCCTTGCTAAGGTATTCCACATGCTCTTTTGCTTTCATCCGAAGCGATACTATGCTAGAGCTCCTTGGATCTAATCCCGATTCTTCTGACTTGGTATCTGTTGGTCCTAGAGAAAGATTAACGGGTCCTGAATGCTCCAGAGGCCCTGATGGTGTACCAGGGGCTAATTCTGCAATGGAACAAGGAACTGTAAGTGCTGCCGTTGGCGCAGCTGGAGTCAAATAACTTGGATACACTGAGGGATGTCTGTTAAGGAATCCAGGCAGTCCAGCAGCTAAGGAAGATCCAAGAAGAGGAGCTGTTAGTGACCAAGGGTCTAGAGGCAGCTGGCTTGGACCAGAAGGCGTGACAGCTGAGGTAGGAGGAGAACAAGATCCCAGTGCTGTTGCCAAACTGGTGATAGGAGACTGGGGCCGTCCTCCCGATACCGGATAATCTGGAACGTGACCAAGAGAGCGCAAAGCATTCTGACTTTCTAGTTTTTCTTGACGTCTCCATTTAGCTCGTCTGTTTTGAAACCAAACCTACAATGAAAAATTTCGACTTATGTTATAAAATATAATTATTAGTTCAGGTGAGATAAGAATACCACATATATGTTAAGATTATTATATATACATTTTTTTCTCTGAATTATCTAAGTACATCCATATTCAGCTTAAAACTATCAAAATTCCGAATTCAGTGCTTATTGCGAAATACCAAAAGAGCTATACTTTCTCTTTGCAGTAATGTTTTGCATATTATGTTAAAGAATTAAAGAATTGTGTTAATGATAAGATACTAAGTACATTAATATGATATTTAGTTTCTATTCGAGATATTTCTATAAAGTTTTGTATACAGATCATGTTTATTTTACTTCTTCGTAATCAGTAACAATTTACAAGGAAAATGAGTTGGAATTCATACACATTTAATCTTCCTCTCTGTACAAAAAAGCTGAAATAATTTGAAAATTATTTTTTTGAAGTTTTATTTAACATTTAAAATTTAAGTTACTCCATATTCCATGCTCATTTTTCTGTTTGATAAAACTCATTTTAAAAGTGGAGTTAAAATCAATGCTAATGTTTGCAGAATAATAGGGAAGGTCTTTCGATCCAGATTGCTGAATATGCTCTTTCATTAAACTCCAAATGAACTATTCTCAGAACACAAGTATTCGGTAATAAATAAATAGATAAAAAGTACATTTATGTTGTTTCAAAATATTAACAATTCGAAATTTAAGTTTAATATCTTTATGAAAAATTTATTCAGGATTGAGTGGTTAACTGCTTATTTTTCAGTTTGAATATGAAATATTATTATTTTAAGTTTGAATAGCTATTTTCACTAACAGTAGTAATGAATAGTTATTTACAACTTGAAAATTAGTAAAAATAGTCATAAAGAAGTTCCAAAACTGTATTGTTAGGAACTTGTCCGTCAACACAGGACATTTGTTAGGCTCACTAAGCAAAGCATTCCTCTGTGCAAAACTTGCATAGTTCATCTAGTATTATCTCATTTGCGCGAATGTACATGCGACTCATTGTAAGCAGAACTGACGAACTCTGAGTAACCTGTTTAATGCAGAAATTGCATCGAACTATAAGCAAACTTTTGGTCTTACGCATACAGTTGTTTAGTATTGTTTATGCTTCTTAAATGCAATGCTTTATATGCATTTTATGTACAGAACACCAGCACATCTGGCAGAAGCTAAATATTATATATACTATGGCAATGTCCATTACTTTCAATTATTAAAGCAGAATTCAATTATTAAAGCATTTTACCAGGATTCGCAACGAAATTCCAGCGAAAGGTTTATTCTACAACACAAAATGTGTGTTTGCAACAAATTATGAAATATATTATTGAAAATGATGATATTGTGTTTATAAATAATTAATCGCATTATATGAGTGAGATAGCAAATATTTAAGAGCAAGTAAAAATCATAACATGCCCTGTCTACATGTGTACAGAGCAAGAGAACAACAGAAAATTATATCAAGTCTTCTTTCCAACTGTATATGTTTTCCTTTCTTTCTCTATTATTTTATTACTTTATATGTTTAATAAAGGGCCAGTGGGTCCCGTTGGCGAGGGTAATTAAATTTCCAGTCGGGCGCGGTTATTCAGTATTTATGCTCACCCCCCCCCCTTATGAGTACATACATATACTGAACGAATGGCTGATCAATTGTTTCGGCAATTTCGACACAGCATTTAAAATTGTCTCCGCTCAGTTTTCTTCACTGAACAAGGCGGGAGTTCAAAATACTGATAGATAGATAGATATTTTATGATTTATTTTTTATATTTTATATATGCTGTGCATGTATTCAATTTATATTTGTATTTATTTATATTTATATTTTACATGTTATGCTATTTGTTTCATAGTTTGGTACTGCAACATGTTTCTTGCCTCCTCCGTTTCGAAAAAGTAAAAATTGTATCAACATCTAGCTTTTATATCCCATGTAACTTTTAATTCTTAAATTCTTCAAAAACCTCTGGAGAGTGGAGGATGAGGGGCACCCACCTTTCTTACCTCTGTAGATGCTAGGTGCCTCTGTCCTCCGTCACCTGTTAGGAATACATATAAGCAACTAAACTGCAACAACAAACACCAACGTAACGTAATAAATTTGATTTCCATTATAAAATACTTTTTTTTTTCCCAATAGAAGATTTTGAACAGTTACAGTTGTAACAGAATTCATTAATCTATACTAAGTCCAGATGTGGTGGTCTTTTTATTATGGGGGCACCATTGCCTTCTATGAAGGGACGAACAGATACAACCACGCCTTATCCGAGATTCGAACCCAGGCTTTTCGATATCGCAGTCAGGCTACCCAAACCACTATACCGTCTGAGCGGCTTCCATTATAAAATATAAATTGAAAAACAAAAGATTTTAATAAAATAATAGTGGAGCATCCAAAGCGGAGAAAACATATGTTTCCAGATGGTACGAATTTCGTTTCTAGTTGTTGTACGATAGTTCTAAAGTTTATTAATTTTTCTTGATTATTTTAGATGTCTGGATGAATTTGAAATTTTGTATTTAAGAAGGGTACAGATAAAATTTTAACTGATATTATCCTTGATAATTGCGTAGAATCAGCCATCTTATTAAGTATATAAGCATTCCAGATTGAAAAGACAATCAGATTAAATCCATTTTTTTCACCTAGGACATGCGTTTTATTTCAGTATGTGCAATTATATTATTTCGCCAAAATGATGAAAGAAATAAAAGTATAATTTTCATGGTATTCTGAAGCTGCAAGGGAAGTATTTCGGAACCGATGTTACTAAAATATGCTACTTTTCTGATTATTACAGTTGCAAGGGAAAATATTTACTACTATATTTTATTTCTCATATTTCCTAACATGCTCGAAATTAACTCTATTTTATTTCACAATAAATTTCCTTATAAGTTATATTAATAAAGCAGTTTAAAATAAATATTCGATACTTTTTATAAGCCCAAAGGGGCTATTTGCTCAGAAAGGCTATTTATTTCGTTTTGGCATTTTGTGTTGGTTCACTATAAACGGCGTTTCTTTTTTCAAATTGCTGCCACCATATATTAGAACCCTGCATTATACTTAAAGAAATTAAATAATGAAAACTCTGTATGCATGTATGTATATTTCTTGCACTGTGAATAAATAACGGCACCTAGAGCCACAAATTTTGAATAAAGCAGACCTTCACTAGATTATGGACATCTGGAAGCCGAAATTTGGAATCTGGAATTCGCTTTATTATCTATTTCATATTTTATAAAACTTAAACGAATTTTTGATTAACAAACTCAAAACGAGCAATGGAAACGCTGTATGGGAAAAACAAAAATTGTCTCTCGAGCGCGAGACTGTGTATTGGAAATTCTAAGGATGTGCTTTTTTAAAATTATTTTGTGATACTGGTGTTGGATTGAATTTTATGGTTTAAATGCTAAGAACATGATATTTAATAAAGGCAACACACGAAACGTTAAAAAAAAGTCTCTTTGGAGGTAATATAAAATTTGTAAAATCTGAAAGCCTTCAGATTTTTTTTTTCTTTGAATAGGTTCTAATTTTTCATGAAAAAAACAGCAGCATAGCTTTTTAATTTTATGATGATAAAAAATTGGAATATTATTTTATTCTTAAGACAAATATTAAATCCGTATCGGGATAAAAGCATTCTTAACACTACTTTTTCAAGTAATGCTACACTGGCATAAGCAGTCTTCGAAATAATAGCAGAAGTATCTCCAAATGTGAAGCTAGACTTTTATAACTGATGCAGAGAAATTAATCAATTTTCCTAACTGTAGATTTCACTTTATATAATTTTGCCCAGATCTTGTATATTACAGTAAATTATAATAAGGAGAATAGACAATAAAGCCTCTTCCTGAATCGAAAAGCAGTCAAATAAATAAATTTCCCACGATACTTCCTTGAGCGAGATTAAAGCTATGTCATTTTGTTTGTGCAACAAAGCTATGTAAGTTATCCTCACAAATCTCCTTCAGAGTACACAGCTCCCTCATATAGAACGATGTAGAAGCGAAACATGTCTTTGAAAATAAATGAATGCGTTTTCTTTTCTAGATTCATTCCCTTGGTCTCTCCCATTGAAAATGAAACAGTCTTTCTCGATTTATTGGGACGGAAAAGGTCGGTGTAAACAAGCGCATCATATTTATTCTATCTCTAGCAAAGAAAAAATAAGAAAGAAGAAACTATTCCTAATTTCGCCGAAATGGCAGAGTTATTTCACCTCCTGGAAGCCAGAAATGGGCAAAAAAGACAAACACTATTCTTTCGCTGATAGTCGAGTATATTCGTTTATCGACAAACCTATTGAGAACTTTTTTTATATACTCTATTTTTATACTTTCATTATGACTTCTTTCCCGGCTTAATATAAAATCAAAGTCAACAGAAAATCTGTGTTGTTGAAACCCCTCTCTCAGCTCCCAATAAATCGGTTCAGCTCCTCTTTTTGTTCGACCATAGCTAACGAGCTGGGAGCAAACACTTACTGATTCTGAAGTTGGACTCTCGGTTGGGACGTCATAATATAATCGATGTGACACTCTCGCCATCTGGTGGATTTTTCTTCGGTAGGTGAATGATAACCTTTGTGTTATACTGTTTTTAATAAAACAAAAGTTGTGTTTTTAATTTTTTTTAATTTAGTTAAAATTTTCTATTGATATCTTTTATTACAACTTAGATATATTTTTATGTGCAAACGTTTTACCGAAAATATAAAAAAAATGAGCTTATCCTTAAAAAGACTTCATCTTCTTGTTGAAATATGAATTTTAAAAATGCAGAGGGACTGCAGAATGATATAACAACTATTTGTTAAAATTTCTTGCCCATATTTAGCCAAAATATTATCCATATTAATAAAGGGGAAATGACTCTTAGTATTAACATTTCATAATTATTATTGCAATTAAAGTTGAATAATCTACAACGACCTTGATTTTTGCAATATTTGGATTATG